GATTTATATTCAAATTTTGGATCAAATAAGCCATTTTCCAATACTTTAATATTTTCTTTTCCGTTTTTTATAAGTATTAAAGTTTCTTCGTTTAATTTTTCTCGAATTTCTGTAATTATCTATAAAAAAATAGTTTTTTACAAAAACTGTTTACAAAAATCTAATTTAATTTAGAAATAATTTTTAGTAGACTTTTGTATTATTCAAAATAATTATATTATTTTTTGAAAATTTTTTGAAAAATGATATAAATAAAATTTCTTTTTACAAAAATTAATATAATTTATAAAATATTTAAAAAATTTATTTAAAAAAATTTAAATATTTAAAAAATTTATAATATATTTATAAAAGAACTTTTACAATTTAAAATAATATACAAAGATATTAATAAAATATAAATAACTGGTATCAAAATATTATTTAGTAACTATTATTCTTATATCTTAAATATGGATGTTTGTAAAATACGTAAATAAAAAACTTACAAACTACAGTTCATTGATTTGAATTTATGAAAACTTCATTTTTCAATTAATTCCATTCTTATGACTTGAATTTATATTCATAATTCTGAAACTTCCTATATTGTATTAATATAAATAATTTATATAATGTTCAATAATAATCGTTACTCAATTAAAAGTTCTTATTCTTCATATATCACTCAAACATTTCAAATATTAAAATTTTTCAAACATGTTCAGTTTTTCAATATATCAATAGAAATATCTCTAAGAACAATAATAATTTACATAAGTAATATATGTAATATATGTATACTATATATGAACCAATAAAAATATAATAAATATATAATTGAAAAATATTTATTTTTTAACATTCATTAATTTTTTCTCAAAATTATTAACAAATTTATATTAAAATTACATTAATTTTAATTGTATAGTAAAATAAAATTATACCTTCATCATGTAGTTAGCATCATGGAACTTTAAATTTCCTGCCTTTTCTTTTAAAATCTTAAATTTTATTTGAGTTAACAACTTGTCATCAATTAATAATTGTAAAGTAAACATTAAAAATTCATTTATAAGTTCAAAAGAACATTCTCCTAAAATAATAAAAAATAAACATCTAGATTAAAAATACATTTTATAATCTAAAATTATTACATACCAAGTGCTTCTATAGCAATTTGACGTAATTTATTAAGATGAAATAAAACATTTTTAGATACATGTTTACATAAATCTTGCCAATTGAATTCACTGCAATATATATAATATATAATATAATATATACAATTATAAACATTAATTACATAATATTATAATATTTATAATAAATTATAAATAAATAAATAGATTAAATGCAATATATTATGAGTAATTTAATAATTAAAAATATATTAAAAAATTGTTATTCTATAATTAAGAAAAATATTTTTGTTATATAAAAGAAATTTAAAATTTATACCTTTTAAATTTGCTACGTTGCTCTTTTTCTTTTCTAAATAAATCATTTGGTTCTAGTTCCTTTGTACTTTTTATACGTCCAAGATTCGTGAACATTCGTAAAGATCTTGTAATTCGAGGTAATTCTGGCATTTTTCATTAATAAGTTTACCACACTATATTTTACCTATAACATATACTTATAATTTATATTTGAAAAAAAGTATATTTATTTATTATAAATCTTTTTTTTTAATAAAAAAAATTTTTTATAGAAAAATAAAATGATAATTAAATTTCATTTTATTTATTATTTATTAATTATAAAAAAGATTTTTTTTATAATTTTTTATAATAATAATATAATTGGTTATCATTAATTAAATTTCAAAAGCAATTGTAAGTATTCATTTATTTACCATTAAAAATTGACAATCATATATTAAAAATTTATAAAAGTTAAGATTAAAAAATTATTTAATTTTTTTAATTTCAAATTTTTTTTTAATATAATTTCAATTTTATTAAAATATAATAAACATATATTTAGTTACTTAATTTTTTTAATTTCAAATTATTTTTAATATATTTTTAATTTCATTAAAATATAATAAATATAAAAAAAATTAATGTATTTTAGAAATTATATATAATTTATTTTACGTATTGTAGAAGTTAAATATATAATTTATAATAATAAAAAAAAATACACTTTGAAATTGATTATTTATTTTATTTTTTTGAATATTATGTTTAATAAAATTTTTATTAAAATTTCATATTAAATATTATACAATATAATATAATATAATACAATATTATTTTTTTACTAACAATTGTAAATTTCTATGCATTACTTACTTGCATTACTTGCATTACTTCTCACCACAATGTGACGCTTAGCTTTAGTAAAAGCTTGGTCACGTGATATACCTCTGCACTAATGTAGCAGTGGTAGTATGGCAGTGGTAGTAATATAGCATGTATTTTGCTCTTGCAGAAATTCACTGCAGAAGAATTGAGCCATTTTTTAATAGAGGGAATAGCATATTGTATTCATTCGATAATTTTTCAATTTTATCAAAGCTTGCTTTCTAAAATTATTTTTTATAAAATATTTAAAAATTTTTTAATCAAATTATATCACCTGGAATTTATTATTAATATTATATTGTATGTCAAGGAAAAAATTATATAAGTTAAAAATAAAATATTTTAAATATTGTATTATAATTTGTATTTTTAAATATTATTCTAATAATTTAATAACTTTGTAATATTATTAAATAATTTAATTTAATAATAATGTTATTAAATAATTTAATTTATTCTAGATATCTGTTATTAATTAATACTACTTTTATATAAATTATTTTTAATTTTTAATAAAATATTTTTTTTAAATAAATATATACTTATTTTTTATTGCAAAATTTATTGTGTTTAAATGAAATAATTTATATATTCACATAATTTTTAACAATTTTGAATCTTTTTAAATATTTTCACTTTTAAATTAATTTTTATTATAAAAATATTATTAAATATATATTATAATTAATTTTATTGTATATATTATAATTTATTATATGTACTATAGATGACTTGCGAATAATGCAGAGATTAAAAAATCTATTATTACTTGCATAAAATTTTTATTTTTAATTTTATTTCTAAAGTAAATTTTAATATAAAATAAAATTAATTAAAAAATTAAAATGATTAAAAAAAATAAGAAAAAAGAATGTAATTTATTTATATAAACATAAATGAATTTAATAGGCAAATATTGTGTAATATATGAAACAATAATGTATAATTTATATATATATATAATTTATATATTTATATATATTCTTATAAATTTTAACATGTAAAATTTGAAAATGATCTTTTTAATTGGAGGAATTTGTAGTTGAAATAGTTATATATTTATAATATTCCGAAATTTTAGGGATTTTTGTTACAAATATATGAATATTGTATGTTTAAACTATAAAAACACTATATATGCCAAATTCAAATTACTTACACAATTAATTCAAAACATTTTTTCTTTATTATACAAAGTATTTTTAATTGTGCAATTATATAGTAATATTCATGGCACAAAGAATCGATTGTAGAAAATAAAGGAATAATATAACATAAATTATATAAATATAATAAATTAATAAATTATATAAATATATATATATATAAAATAATATAAATTTTATTTCAAAAATTAATATATATTAAGATTTATATATAAATATAAATATTAGTATAAATATTAAGATTTAATTATTAAGTTATAAATAATTGAAATTTATGTTAAACAAAATAAGATAGTGTGACCAATTATATTTTTATCTCTGTCAGAGTGTTATTTCGCTTTATTTTTATTCTATTTTATCTAATATAAACTTAAATTGCTTATAACTTAACAAATATTAATAATCATTATTTTTATATATCAATTTTTATCTTTGTTTGATTTCTAAAATCGATTCTCCAAAAATATTTCACAAATATATTAATATCCTGTATATTTATTTCAATTATAAATTATATCATTGCAAGCAGAATATTTCAATACTTTACAACTCAGTTTGAATTAAAAATTCCTAAATAAATACGCATCATGCATATATTCGTTTTAATATATTATAATTATAAATTTATTAGTTTTTGAACTTTTTAAATATTTTTGCTATGAAATTTAAAGTTTAATTATAATTCATTTGTTTTTCACAAAATATTGTTATTTATATCGATTATTTAATAAAATTAAATTAATAATAAAAAATGTATTAATTAATTAGAATTATAAAAAAATTCATTTATTTTTAATTTTATACATTCTATATTAATTCTTCAAAAAGATAAGACTTATATAATACATTAAATAAAATTTATTACAAATTCAATAAATTTATTTATTATTATATAGTTTGATTTATTATAAAATTATCTGATTTATTAAAATTATAAATTTTATTTGTTATATATAATATATATAATATATATAATAAATAAATCAAATTATTTAATTTATAATATTTTGAAATTTATTCAAAATCACTAAAAAACATTCCATTTTGTCATGAAAAATAACACATAACAATATAATAATTATATATATATTTATTTTATATATATTAATTTATTATATATATATATATTAATTTATGTATTATTATTATTAAATAGTAATAAATAAGATATTACAAAAAAAATCTAAATTAAAATATTAAATTATTTAATTTTATATATAATTTCGAAATAAAAGTTTATAAATAAAATTGATTTAAAAATAAACAATTGGTACAGCAATAATTGATATTTGTAATATCACTTTGATATTTATATATTTTTGCAATATAATATTGATTTTGAATTCTTGGTATTAATAATTCGTCAACTAATATTTAAAATCAGAATACCTATCAAATGATTTAATTTGTTTATATTCTGTAACTCATTTTATTGAATAAATATTAATATAGTTTTTTCTAGTGATTATTATTTTTATAACATATCAACACTGAATTTATGAAAAAGAATTCGTTCCTGCTTCATTTTGAAGGAACTTTTTTATTATGCGTTAAAGTATAAAGATTATCTTTGTTTTGGTGATTTTATATATAGATTTCGTCAATATATAATACGAAATAAATTGACGGAAATATATATTTCATGTATGAAATGATACTGTCATTATATTGTTTAATGAGGTTACGTCAGTATAAATGACAATATATTAGTTAAATATAAAGTCAACCTAAAAGTCATGTAAAAGAAATGTTCAAAAAGATTGGAATTGAAACATTTTGTTAATTTCAATTGTGATACATTACAATATAAATACTTTGTGAGAATTTAATGAATGAAGGCAAAACGAGATATTTTGCGGGGGGTCTTTACTGGGGTTATTGTTACCCAGGTAGACCAAAAATCCGCTTTAATAGTAAGGTAAAGAATTTTTCTAATATATTTTATTTTTTTTATCATAGCAATATTACTATTATTATATAATATATTATTATATATTATTATATATGTAAATTTATACTTTCAATAACAATTATATTATACATTATATGTTATATAGTCAATACAATTTTTTATCAATATTATCATTTTTTATAATTTTTATACATGTGTTATTGTTATTTTTGTACATTATTTATAATTTTTATAAATGTTTCAAATATTTTAAAATTTTTAATAAGTTATATTATAAGTTTATAATAATATAATTAATAAATTTATATATTAAAAATATATAAATATTTATAATATATTTATTTTATTGGCACATAAAATTAATTGTATCATTTTGTTGACTTATAATTATTTAGCTTTCAATCAAGACTGCCAATGTAAGACTGAATTACTAATGTATGGAATAATTGTCTTTAACATTAAATACGGACAGCATCAATGGGAAACTGTTTCTCGTGTTTTAAGGTGTCTCTTCCACCAGCCACTGCCACTAGATCTTCATCATTTGATTATAAGGACGGTATGATTTTATTGATTATTATTTATTTTTTTATTTTACATAATTGTGTTATTTCTTATTATTTTACTTAATATCTAATTATTTAATATCTATTAATTATAATTATATAAAGTTATTAATAAAGTTTATTAATAATCTTTTTTGAAATGTGTGCACACATATCAATATTTATCAATATTATGGATATTTTATATTATTGATACATATAGAAATGATTTTTTTATTTTTAGTATTTTTTATTATATACAATTAATAAAAGTTAATAAAATTTTATCAATTTTATTGTTATTTGTATTTGCTTGTTATTAATGCTTAACTTATTATATGTTATTATTAAATATATATTTTTCATAAATGTATATATATTTAATTATATATATATATTTAATTATATATTTAATTTTATATATATATATATACACATAATTTTAGAAACAATGGAACTGAGAGGTTCATTCTTAAATTCTTGCCAACAAACTGGGTCTTTAGTGCCTGAAACACATATAAATGGAAACAAAAAATCAATAACTACACTATCAACATTCAACAATGTAGGATCTGATAATTGTGGATCTATGCCTACTACAATACAAAATAATTTGCGTTCATCAAGAGGGTTTTATGCACGATTATCACCATTGGGTAAATCTGGAACATCATCTGGTCTTAATACAACTGAATCAAAACAGAAAGAACCATCAGAAAACAAGTTAAATACTTTATTTGATCACTATAAGGTAAAGTCTTTTTTTTAAATTTTTTCTTTTTTATTTTATTAAAATATAAATTTTTATAAAAATAAAAATTTTTTATTTGATTTATTAATCTATATCTGTATTGTATTACATCCATTTTTTCAAAGTATTTTCTCTAAATAAAAGAATTAGTATAAATTTTTATTAACTTAATTATATTAATCATATATGAATTATATATAACATATATAACATTAACACTTCAAAAAATGTTATAATTAACTTTTATTATTATATTTTATATTATATTTAATTTTTTATTTAAATGTAATTGGAATTTAATTCATATTTAAAAATAGTTTTTTTTTTTATTGATACCTATTATTATTTTTATTTATAGGATTCACATGAAGACGTAATTTTAGCTGATGGTATAGAAAGATTTTGTAATGATTTACAATTGTCACCAGATGAATTTAAAGTACTTGTTCTTGCTTGGAAATTGAATGCTAAACAGATGTGCCAATTTACACGTCAAGAATTTGTAACAGGTTTGAAAATGATGAAAGTAGACAGTATACGTGGTATACAAGCAAGATTACCTGAAATTGTTCAAGAATTAATTGTAAACAATGATTTATTTAAAGATCTCTATAGATTTACATTCCGATTCGGTTTAGATGTTAATTCTGGTCAGAGAATATTACCAGCTGATATGGCAATTGTTTTATGGAAACTTGTTTTTACAATACGTGAACCACCTCTTTTGTTAAAATGGCTTAAATTTCTTGAGTGTCATCATGTTCGAGGCATACCTAGAGATACATGGAATATGTTTTTAAATTTTGCTGAAAGTATTGGCAATGATCTTAGCATTTATGATGATGCAGAAGCATGGCCAAGTTTATTTGATGATTTTGTAGAATATGAAAATGATCAAATGAACCAAAATATCAGTAAAGATGATTTGAAGGATGCTTCTATTGATAATTAATAATAGGAAAAACTAATTGTAAACAAATATTCTCATTATATATTCAATCTCTGAACATAATTATTTAAAATTGTTTGACACTGAAATGAAAAAAATATTCATCTTATGATATTTTTTATTTATTTCTTTATTTTTTCGTTATGCACTATCTAATAAGAAAAATGATTAAATAAATTACCCTAATAAAATTATTGTTCAAAAAATTTTATTCAGGGATATATAAATTGATATATTTAATAAACATATTAGAAAACAATTTCTATAATGTAAATTTGCAATACATAATAGTATGAATCTATATAACTTTTTAAACATTCATATTTTTAAAATTTTTCAAGATATTGGTATATAGAGTATCCATTTCAATTTTCAAACTTAATTATCTCCCAAATTATTAGTTATTTTAAAAAATATTTGAAATAAAATAACATTGTTTTGAGGGAAACAATATTTATAGTTATAAATCTTCTTCGGGTAATTTGCTTCTGAAATTTTAAGATGGCTTTTATTTTTTTATGATATATAATTATTAATTCATTCAACATTTATTGATAATGATATACATCTATATAAAAAAGATTCTGTAAAAAAAAGTACTAACCATATGTATGAAACATAAATAAGAATATAAGAAAGATATAAAAAAAGCACAAACAAAAAGAAAAAAAAAATAAATATCACTTAAACGTTTCTTGTTTTTCATTAATATAATATATTAATATAATATATTTTTACAAAATTTAAGTTAAAATATCTTCTAAACTAATGATTTTTCGAAATATATGGATTAATACTTTTTTAAAGATAATTAATGAAATACATCAATTAAAATGCATTAAAAATTATATAATTTCATTTTAAAAAATAAAGATCAACTTGAAATTTCAAAAGCGTATTCATTTAAAAAAGAGATTGAGATAAAATATTTCTTTCAAAATAACATAAATTTCATCTTAAACATTTTTTGATATTTTTATAATTTGAGAGATAATGCATATGAAATGAGATACTAAAAAAAAAAAAAAATATATAAAAAAAGTAAAAGAAAAAGATTTTATATAAAAATAATAAATTAAAATAATTTAAAATTTATTTAATATCTCATTAATATACAATATATATGTCATAATTTTATTTAAAACTAATATAAATATGCTACTGTAAAACAAATTTGGTTATTTGTAATCATGATTTATGATATTACTTTAAACACATGTATGATTTATTTAAATTATGTTCCTATTTATTTTTTAAATGTCAATAATTGAACTTTGACCATGATTGAAATCATCATCAAAACTATTAAATCTTATTTTAAATATAATTGATTATATATGTATATAGTGCCATGTCTTTCGAAAATATTAAAAAATTATAAAAATTAATGATAATATATCATTGAATAATTATATGAAATGTTAATATTTTTACAAAAATGTGCTATATATATTTACAATTTTGATCATCAAAAACAATTTTTAATATCATATAAATTTATTTTAAAAATTAATTTTAATAATATTTCTAAAATATTAAAAATATGTTTAAACCTATTTTATTTTTAATATTCCTTCTCTATTTATCAAAAGTACAAGATAAAATATAATAAATGCATAAAATAAAATATGATTTTAAAAATAATTTGCATAGAGGATCTTTTTATGTAATATAATATATTGGAAATAAATAAAGTCATCAGCAATATAATACGTTTTATTTAAGTAAAATAAAATAAAAATTCAATAACTTCATTGTGATTAATATATTGATGAATAGAAACTTTATTCTAAATTCAATGTATAGAAAATATATAATTATATATAATTAAAGTAATTAATTGTTTTCATATAGTTAGAATAAAAAAAATATTATCATTCAAAAGTTTATGTAATATATCTGTATAAAGTATACTAAAAGTTATAAATTATAATTTAAAAGAAATAAAAAATAGTAAATAATTTAATATAAAAATGAATATTGTATAGAATTATACTGTATGCTAAATTTATAAAAAAAATATATATATATAAAATTTTCTAACAATATTTATATTATGATAAAGATCCTCTGTCATTCAAAATATTATTCAAAATATTTTATAAAATCATAAAAATTATATAAGTAAACATATAATATAAGATGCATATATATTATTAATTTATTTTGGTGACTTAATATAGACTTATCTATATTTAAATTCAGATTTACTAAATAAATAGCTTTATAATACTTTTATAACTGAAACATGCTTATAAAAAAAATTTTTCAATTAGATTCTGAAAATTAATCTCCAAAAATATATGACATTATTTTTATTGTGATTTTTTATCAAATATAATAATATAAAAGCATTGTAGTTTAGAAGTATACATAATGATAATGCAATGAAATAAACAGTTAAATAGAATAAAGTAATAAAATTTGAATTATATAACAGATATATAATTTTATTAAATAAATAATAAATTGTAATAAAATTTGATTTTATAATGAAAATATAAATATATTCAAAGTAAAATACATCCAAAAAGTTTGAGCATTTAAAGAAGTGAAAAAGTATAAATTTTCATAATAATTTGTTTTAATAAGTTAAATGTTCATGATTTGATATCTATCAAAAATAATAATTTTATTATTAAATATAATTAATTTATTGATAAGAAATCAACAATATTATTATAAACTATATATGTACATATTATATTAATAATACAAAAATCAANTTTTGCACACATACACAAACACATACAGTTTTATAAATATTTTAACTAAAAAAATACATTCTTTTCTTGTTATTAGGTTTCATTAAAACTCATGATAAACATTGAATTTGTTTGATAAATATTTGTTTAAATATTTATACTAATATAAATTTTACGTTTGATTACAAAATAATATTTTAATATATAAAAATACAATATGTGAAAACAAAAATTTCAAAATCAATTGTTTTATATATAATCTGAAGTTAAAAATTAATAATTTAGTATATTTATAATAAAAGTTTCAATATTCAATTTTAATATTTTTTCAAAACTCTATATTGATTTATTGATATTATGATATTTTTTTATATATATAATAAATTGTAAATACTCTATCTTTCATAAATTAAATTTTTTTAGGAAATTTTTTTAGGAAATACAAATTTTCAAAAATATGAAAGTATTATATAATCAAAATTTTGCAAATATGTAAAATTCTAAAAAATATATTTTACATTTTTACGTATTAAATAATTAATTTAAAGAAAAAATTATTTATAATTTTTATAATTTTTATTCATTTTATACTCATTGTACAATATATTAATATCTACAAATTAAAATTCAAATTAATTCATATTGCAAATATATAATTAATTAATATATATTAATATATTACATACACTTTTTATTTATTTATATTAATATATAATATACACTTAATATATTTTTTATAATTAACTTAGAATTAAAAAAAAATTTAAAACATTAATGTGTGAATTAAAATATAAAGATTATTTGTAATGTAGTTATGCAGTAATATCTCATAAAATGAATACATGCATGTATATACATAAAAATAATTATGCATTGTATATTTTTGGAGCTTATGACAATCTTATAAAAAATATGAAATAATATTAATCATTACAAATAAAATTAATTTTTTAAACAATTTATAAAAAATTATAAATTTTCCCTATTTAAATATAAATATTATATGTGTGTTCTATGTATTTTTAATCAAAAATATTTTTCAATAAAATTCTCATATTTGTATTAACATTTATTTTTTTTTTTTTTTAAATAATTTGTACATTAAATATGTTAATATAGAATTCGTGAATCATCTTCACATTATTGTGTATAATTTTAGTTAAATATAATATCCCTAGATTGTTAGTAATATACTTAGTATTCGATTGTAATGATATTATATGTACAATATAGTACAAAAATACTAAAAATATATAAGAAATATAATTTATTTATTTCAATTTATTAAATATAATGTATAATAAATTTATCATTTCATAATATTTTTTCTATTTCTTGAAAAAAGTAAACATGATAAATTATTTTGAAAATAGAAAGTAATATATACATGTATTGATTGTGCCATCTATAAACTTACTGTATCATTGCTATTATAGACGATTGAATTATTCACTTGGTGTTTTTCGGTTGTACGATTACAGTGTTTTGTTCGGAATGTCTTGCTTTTATTATAGTTAATATGTGTATGTGTGTACAGGTTAGATATTTGATGATTTCGGGATACATATAAAAATCATTTTCAAAAATTGATTATTCCGCGCAACATGCTAGAAGTTGGGAATCGTATTTGTATGTACTGGATGAAAATACGTTTATCATTTCCATTATTTGAATTTATTCATTTTGTAGTGAGTATTTGTAGTGAATAAATAATTTCATTTGTATTCTAATTTAAATTTATTCTTTATTATTGATTCTTAACCTTACTAATATTTTTAATGCATTTTTTGCAATGTTGGATATTTTATTATTTTCATATTTATTAATCTATTATAAGTTAAAAAATATTATTTATTTGTTTTTTAATGTTTTATATCTTATATATTTGCACGTATATGTGTATATATATGATATATATATATATATTCTTATATATTATTCTTATATATCTATATATACATACGCGAAATATTCTTATGCTGTGTATACGCGTGTGTATACAGTAAAATGATATTATATCAGAAAATATTTATTTAATAATATTTATTTAATAGTTATGTATGTCAAATATGATATATTAAAAATATCTAAGTCTTTTATTATTAATTTATATTCATACATTATTGTACTTTTAATTAGTTTCTAATGTATATTTCAATATAAATATAAAATTTATTAAATAAATTGCCTTCAAGATATATCATTTTACTTTCATTAGTACATATATACATACATGAAAATAATGACAATTATTAAATATAACAAACTATATAAATTTATTAATGTTAATATTTAAATGTCATAATAAATATTTTATCAGTTTATGTAATATTTATTTATTTATATAATATATATATATAATATATTTCATATATAATAATATATAATATAATTTGTTATATGTATTAT